AGCAAGATTCCATCTCAAAAAAAAAAAAAAAAAAGAATCACAGACCTTAGCATTAGAGAAATCGAAAGATAGTATCTGGTCTCTCCCCTGCCCTTCAGACAGGAAGTGTATTCTTCCCAAGGAGGTTGGTGATTTCTAGAGGCAGAGAAGCAATATGAGACTAACGTGAGAGGGAACTGTTGCAGGCTGTGGCCACAGTGAGCAGCAGAGCCCAAGCCTCTGAGTAGCAGGCGGTGGTTACACAAACAAAGCCCATCTTTTGATTATCTTTTCTGCAGGTGCCACAATCTTGCATGCATACTGCTTCCTCCAGCGACTTCTTTAGCATCCATCATGCCAGTTTACTACCTTTAATGGGTACACATCTTGAGAACATGTTTGGCAAATGACTACCCCTGTGGCTGTCTCCTAAGAAAGACCCATGCAGGGTCGTGTGATGAATCCATTTGGTTATCCATACAGCGCCTCTCCTATGGTAAGTACCCAGAAAATATTAGTTCCCTTCCCCCTTCCTTTCAAAGCTTCAGTATCTGCCCCCAAGGGAAGAGAAGCCCACGGTACCCAGACCCACTTACTTATACCCAATGTCACATGACTTGAGCCTGTCTATGTAGAAGGACTGGATGTCCTGGACCAGCAGGCGGCACTCCTCAGAAATGTTGCAGGTCCTGTCGGCAGTGTGGATAATGATGCCATACTTCGCTGGGAGGGTCATCCTGGGACAGTGGGTCTCCCTGGCCCCCCATGCAGACCGTGGGACAATGCTGGGGCAAGCTGAGATGGGGAAAGAAACCACAGAGGGTTCATCTCCCCTATCCATGCCAGCCACTTCCCCACTGTAGGCTGACACAATGCTCAGGACCTTCAATGTCCCAAACCCCCTCTGGGTCCCCCACCCTGACCCCAACAGTGGGACTTGAGAGCAGATGGTGTCCCGCAATGGGACATGAACATTTTATTCTAAGAATATGACTTTGAGCCCTTTGTAAGCCACGAAACTCTCTGTCAATGTAGGTGATCATTTATACTGATAGATGGCACCAGAGATCACATTTACTCAAGACTTTAATGTAATAGAGATGAAATTT